ACAATGAATTCGATACGCATCTGACGCGTCGAATAATCGTTCCTATAGTTGTGTATAAAAATAGTTATTGGTAACTTAATAACAAAAAAAGAGTAACATTACAGCTGATTTTGAATGTAATCTAAAGAGTAAAACTGATTACACTGGCTAAATTTGCAGGTTATTTGGCCAAACTCGGAGTCTGGCCGAATGACCAAATTTGACCAGTTATAAGTAATCTTTTATTTAAAATAAGCTTTGATAGAATATAAACGTATTGATACCTTCAAAAACATGGCTACACCATGAGAAATCATACAATCGCGTTCCATCTCACCGAAACGCAACCCACCATCACGACTACGACCCTCAACCGGCTGACGCGTAAGTATTTGCACAGGGCCTCTAGCACGAGAACTAATGAAACAACAAATAGTAAGTAATAGGTCTTCCCAAGAAGGAAGGCTCAATGATAGAACAAGCATATTTACTGAATTTTATCATCCACCATATGCTTCAATCGTTGATAATATGTCGGTCCTAAGAACACTTGTGCAGCTAACTTGCGTCCTGTATGGCCATTATACATTACTTCAAACCCTCGAGAATGGTAACCATTTTGTCGCAAACTGTGTGAAATAGCTTCAACCGTCACATCAGTGAACGGCGTAGCATCACCTTCTTGGCCAGTGAGTGTTGAAACCTGAATACCATTCAATTTGTTCGAGCATGACTTTGTGCATAACTCAATGCGAAACATATGAGCTAAATATGATTATTGAAGAAATTTTACCTTTCCTAATAAGCATTCGACTAAATGACCGATTGTCATACGACTTGGGATGGCATGAGGATTTATAATAAGATCTGGTGTAATTCCTTCTGAAGTAAACGGCATATCTTCCTGTCGATATGTAATTCCAATAGTACCTTTCTGACCATGTCGACTAGCGAATTTATCTATTATAGATTTGTGAATGAATACTAGTAATATCAAATGAAGAATAAATCAAACGAATCATGTACGAAACTCACCACCCATCTGTGGAATTCTTGTACTCCGAACTCTTACTTTAACGAATTTCATTCCTTCGGCATTTGTTGTTACCATCACTTGATCTACGATACCATTTTCTGTACTTCGCATTGGTGTGGAAGCATCTCTATGTGTATGGGAATCTTTTCGTTGACCAAGTTCAATAGTGTGCTCTGGAATAGGTGTAACCTTCCCAATAATTATATCATCACCGGATACTCTTGTACCAGGTGCAATTAAACCATCCTCCTCTAATTTTTCATATGTGCCATGTTTGAGACGTAAGGTAGTTTCTCTTGTCGGTTTATCAAATTCTTCAATAGATAATATGCCCTGTGTAAAATTCATGATATAATTGATTATAAATTGTCAAACATTATCTAATTTAATTAAAACCTATACATACCACTTTTTTTTCTTGATCCATATAACTTCTATAAAAAATACTTCTAAATAATCCTCTATCTATACTACTTTGATTCATAATTACTGAGTCTTCTTGATTATAACCACTATAACAAAGAATTGCTACAATAGCATTTTGACCTGCTGGCAATTCACGGAATCTTAAAAATTCCATAGCTCGCGTTGTTACTAAAGGTTTTTGCGGATAATACAAAATATTTGCCAAAGTGTCCATTCGTAACTGATAATTTGTTACGTAAATGCCCATTGCTTGTTTACCCATAGCGGATTGATAAGTATTACGCGGTGACTTTAAATAAGAAATGAGATCGGTGAGTTAAATGCTACAAATAACTGTTATAATTGATCGGACATTTATTCCACCTACCTGATTATGATCAGGGAAAGGAATAATACTAGCACAAATTCCTAGTATCATACTAGGATGAATTTCGCAGTGTGTCCAAGTATGTATGTATAAATTTGTTTCACTTTTAACACGAGCTGCCACGTCTTTTTCGTGTGCTTTTGACGATGGTGTAACACCAGTTTGATAATAATACCTTGACGCTGCTAAATCTTCAGGAGTCATACAGATCATAACTGTTTCTTCTTCTTCCGCATCTATGTACTCAATTGCGCCATTGGAAATTAAATCATGCCATGCATAAACTTGTCTATTTCGTCGACTTCTTGTGCCTTGTTCCTCAGCATCTTCATCCTGTATTTCATCATCAATGCCATCTATATTTTTATCATCATCCGCCTGCCCACTTGTTCGACCTTTCTGTTTGACAAAAAAATAAAATAACATAGCTTATATACATGATGGATTCAATGGTATCTTGACTAACTAAATCACGCCATTTCTATCAACTCTGGATAGAAATAAATAAAAATGTCACTTACAAGCTTATTAACATCCAGGTTATGTATAAGTTCTTTACTTATTTTTAAACATTGGTCTTCTACAATGAATAAAGGTCTACATACTCTTCCAGCATCAGTATAAATTCTTAGTTCTTTTTCACGAATGTCCCTAACAACACTAACTTCGGGGCTCACATCAACACTTCGTCTCAAGCCCCTAAGCGATTACCACTGGCACATCTTTCTTAATGTAAGGCATAGTTGCTTGGATGAATTGTCCGGTCGACTTAAAAAGA